TTATCGGGGTGCATGTCAAAAATCACCTTCTTCACCTCTTCTGCTATAATCGGCCTCATCAATTCAATATTTTGGTCTTCCGTAACTTGGGAGAAATTCCCCAAATTTTTCTCCTCCTGGTGCTCGGCTCTACTCTGAAATAAATTGTCAAACTAATTTTTTACTGCTTCGCCCATTATATTCTTGCCCGATCATCAACCCAAATGTCATCCTCCAATCTAATCCCCTGCATCTTATTCCTCCTACGTCGTTGTTTGACGGCGTTAATGCGTTATGAATTTTTTTTGAATTGATATCTCCTTCCTTCAACCAAAACTCTTTTGCTCGTTGCTTCCAGTAAATATTCTCTTTTACCAGTAAGACTTGGATAACTGCTTTCACGCTGAGAAATTCATTAACACTCCAATCATCTGTACAACCCCTTAGACGAGCTAAATTTCTCTTGCAGGTTTGTATCTGATTCCTGAAGCCTTTCGGTCTACACTTGTCCCACCGTAGAAACTCCTTACCACAAAAATCAATATGTTCGCTAACAGAAAAATGTTGACTTGCTATCCAGCTATTCACAACCACTGACCTGCATTCCTCCTCTTGTAACCACAAATTCTCGGAATGAAATCTTCTTGACCGTTTGCTATGTATCATCGGACAGAACTTTATCCACAGAACCATATGATCACTCATCGGAGCCTCAATAGACATAGCCTGAGCCTCCATAAATCTATTCCACCGGTCATCGTTTACCAATATTCTATCTAATTTTTATTCCACCCAATTAACTGCTCCTTTACCCCGATCCCATGTCCATTGATAGCCTTGAAACGGGAAGTCTCGTAATCCACTACCATAAATTGCTTCTCGGAAACCCCTCAGTCTCCATTCTGGATGAGGGAATCTTCCTTTCTTCTCCGATTTGTACAGAATATCGTTAAAATCTCCTATAACCATCCATGGCATAGTATTATTCTCCGCCAGGCCACTCAACAAATCCCACGCTTCTCGCTTTCGGGTTGTTTCCGGGAAGCCGTAAAATCCAGTCATTCTCCGCCTATCCTCCATCGCCGAAGCTCGCACTTGACAGTCCAGAAACAAGTCTGCTTCCTCCCGAATATCCACTTCGACCTCGTCCGTCCAGCCCAACGCTAATCCGCCGCTCTGGCCTCTACTATCAGAACCAGCAAACTAGAAGAAGCCCTGGGATCGGAGAATTCCTCTTGCCTTCTCCCTGCTACACTTCGTTTCCATTAGAAAAACCATAGATGGCCGTTGCGATTGAACAATGTCTGCTAATCCTTGAATCGTGCCCGCATTCGCAAGACCTCGACAATTCCAGCTAATAAGACTCATCTCGCAAAACCTTGAAAGAAACAACTGACCGGCGTGATGCCGAGGCCACCGTCGGAAAAATATCCTAGCGAACCCTAGGAGACGACCATTTTTTTCGTTTTATACTGGGTATTATAATTTCTTGAAAAAATATTTTTGTATACCAAATTAATCAAATCGTTTTCAACAATAGAAAATAATACTCCCTCAATCCCATTTTGTAAGATACTTTTCATATTCAATTAGTCAACATAAATCACTCTTAATCTCTTCATCTCTTGCTTTATATATCAAATTTTATTCCTATTTTTGCGACTTTGTAAAGCTTTTAATTTAGTTTCTGAATATGTAACTTTTTTTTCTAAAAATAATTTGAGTGCGGACAGGATTCCGTTTGCTTTATCATCGGTCAAACATCGTAAACCGTAAAGTGTCTTACGATTTGGAACGGAGATTTAAATACTGCAAGAGATATAAATAGGGAGATTTACCTTATTAATAGGAGCAAAACGTGGCTTTTTTCCAAAATAGGAGCATCTAGTTTAAACATCCCTGAATAGGGAGTTTTTATTTGTGATTGGACCAAAATACCCCTCACAACCTTTACCACTGCTGCCCCGGACTGCCGGACCGCCGCCTGCCGCCAGACCTCCGGCCACCGCCGGAAAAGTCCAGATTTTTTTTTATGGCAGCCTGCCATATTTCTACCGCCGGAGCCGGAGTTCGCTGCCGAGCAGCCTCCACCACCGGATTGCTCCCGCTACCAACGCACTGCCTTGGTTGTGCAAGATAACTAGGGGGTAATTAATTGCCGGAGTTGTCAACGTCGCTGCCGACCGCTGCCGAAGTGCTGCCGCCACCACAGACTGCCCCGCCACCGACAGACTGCCTTGGTTGTGCAATAAAACTAGGAGGCAATTATTTAGATCAATTAGTTAATTAAATGAAATTAAGGGCAAAAAAATATGATTAGTTCTATTTAGAGAAGAACATGCATGTGGTGCTATTTGTGAAAAAATGTTGAGTTTTGATCCTATATACGAAATATCTGGTTCTCAAATAAATATCATTAAATTTCATAAACGTCCGTGACGATTCAGAAATCAAGCCCCATGTCTTTGATTGCCGACAAAAATTGTGAACTGGAGTTCTGACTTCACGGAGTCACCTCTTTTTTTTTATGTTGTTGCCTGTATGGCTGTATGGACCAGTGACCTCTTTAATACGAAGTAGTTCCTCCGTACGTTTTTTGGACAATGCAATAAAAAAAATGGTCCATTCTTATGTATAGAGGGGATTTGGCAAATGGCTTTTGGTCGATTGTGTTGGCTGATTACCGATAGCGGATTATATCGACTGTTTTGATTAGCTGATATTATTAACAGTTTGTAAAATAATGTTTGGTTAAATGCCTGTATAAAATCAGTTGATAACATTTCAAATGACTCTTAAGGACATAATTAAGTAGTATATTTCTATAAATGTTACGTAAAATGACTTTTTTTATTAAATTACTTGAAAGTGTACCAAATATTTCTATCGTCCACCACAAAGTTTTTAAGTGTCCGGGAATAGTAGCTCTCAAATTTCCGGCGATGTCATGCATATACGTGTGTGGGGGGGAAATAAAAACAAAGATGGAATTAATGAATCATGATTTGTTTGTTGTTTTTAAAGCCTTGAATTGGTTTTATGTGAGGAAGAAATACCTGGTAGCAAAAACGGGTACGAAATGCCAGTAGTAACAGGAGAAGAAAGCTTTCTCCACGATTGTGCTTTTTTTAATTAACGGAAGAAGTAACGCACGAAGAAGAGGAAAAGATGCCTGGGCAGAATAGGGATATCGACAAATTTCCAAACGCCCAGAATGTAAACGTCGGTTTAATTAGCTTTTTCCATTTTAGATAAAAAGTAAGTGAAAAAGCCAACTTACCGAACACACCAATTAGCGGATTATCGGGTCAAAAAGTCAAATAGCAGTCAAATTAGCTATAATTTGGCTGATAAACTATTAACCAAACATCCCCAAAATGTGTACACAAATTGTACACGGTCTGTGTACACAGGCAACAAGTGAGATCTTGGCATCAAATTCTACCTTCTTTCAAACAAATTGGTTGTGTACACAGACAACTATAGAGTCTTGTGTACACTTTGTGTACAATTCATGTACATTAAGAATTTTTTATCAAAAATATTATCAAAATTATTTTCCTGATTGGTAATAATACGCTTTGCTTAGTTAATACATAAGCAATCCGATTCGTAGATCGTTTACAAAAAAGAAACTAAATCTACTCTTACTCCCTCCTTCAAAATAAACAACTCATACTCCCTCCTTCCCGCAAAATAGTTCTCGGTTTCCTTTTTTGGCCGTGCCAAAAAATAGTTCTCATTTCCCTTTTTGGAAAGTTTTGTGTGGCTCACATTCATTTACCTTTTTCGTACACGATCACAATCATACATTTTTACGTTATTCTCACTTTATTAAAATCTGATTCAAGTCAATGCGAGAACTGTTTTCTGAGACGAAGGGGGTATATCCTTTGTCAAGAGATCAAAATAGGAGGGGAAGGCCTGTTTAACCCTCCCCCTGCACCACTACCATTAAAAACGCATCTGATTCAAATTCAACACATTTCCAACCTTCCCGAATAGCGGCACAAATGGCTACACGAACTCCCATCGCCTCAGTTTCAGCCGGACTCGAAACGCCTTGTTTGGATGCGATAGAGGCTTTATAAATTGCCCCTGATCAGTACGAACAACCTAACTCCACGCCCTAAATCCTAATTCCTCCCTCCTCATTAAATGTAGCATCTAGAGCCTGTTTGGTGACTCTATTTTCATCTTATCAACCAACTTATCACTAACAAGTAACTTTTTATTTCGCGCACTGAATTGTGTTGTAATAAAAAAACTGGAGTTACTATTCTTGTTGTATTGACTGAAATTACTGTAGATGATCATTTTAGCTGTTTTCATATATATTTTTCTTTATTTTATTAATGAAATATATTTTAAATATAACTTTTTTCATGAATTAGCATAATCGACCAATCTAGTCACTTCAATCAGAACTTCGTAAATTTCAGCAGAATCAAACGATTTAGTCGATACAACCTGCTTGAGGCTTCTTCAAGCAAGATAAATGATCAGTACTCTTCCTCTAGTTTATATTTGGTTGAAATGCTTGGGCGTCAGCGGGGATCTGCCCATATTTTCATCCCTCCATAAATATAGAATATTTATAAACCGTACGTAACTTGCCTCCGTCGGTCCGTCCTCCCTTCCATATACCCAAAATTTTTAGGGCCTCATACAACTACTCTCCATGACTCCATATACCCGCTTCCTGCCAGTCTGCCACACCTTTTGTCCGAAATAGATGCATTAGGTACGTATAAAACTTTATATCAACTTCATAATAATGTATGAAGGGGTTAGGTGTCGGGTTCGAATTCCGGCAACTGCGATGAGGGGTTACTATGCTGAAAAATGCATTGGGCTTCTGCAAGTACCGGGGACAGAGCCACACTCTCTATCTGTCAGATTGTGATTATAGTCCAATTTACATCCTCCCATCGTGCCGTCCGGTCGGTGTTGGGGGGCCCTCAGGGATGGAGTGTCATCCTTTTTTTTCATAATAATGTATGATGTAATATTATTATTTTTTTTGGTAAAAAGGGTAAATATATATTAAATGCCAAAATTAGATTACAACATATAGAGGGGCATTCCCCAATCAAAGAAGCAACCATACTACAGTTTCAAAAAGACAACAGCAAACAACTCTCATAGTAATACATAACTAACATCAGGTCACTCAAATTTCATAGCAACTGAGAACTAGAAAAAGGAGAATAAAAACTCAATCATACTTACGGGGTAAAGTCTAAACAGAACACGATAAACATGCAACTTAATCTGAAAGAGTACTCCCTCGATAGTAGCATCTTTATGTCCAAAGATTTGCTCATTCCTAGCCTTCCAAATTAAATAGACAGTGCAACACAAGGCTAGCCTGACAGCCTTGCTAGTCAATCTTGCTCCTCCATACTGCTTCAAACATAACTTGACTGTGCTCAAGAGTGTAGAAGAATTCTTCTTGATCTTAAGCCACTGTCTAACTCCTTCCCAGATTGCTCTCGTAAATACACATTTGAAGAAAAGATGGTCAGATGAGTCCATGTAAGTCTTACAAAAGCAACATGCTCTATCCATATCTATGTATAGCAAGTTATCACACGTTGGTAGTCTGTTTCTCAGTCCAAGCCAAAGAATAAAAGAGAATTTTGGGGGTATGTAATTTTTCCAAATAAGGTTCATCCAGGGTTTGCTATGACCTTTAACCCTCAAAATGTCATAAACTTTGTTTGACTGAAGCTTACCATTGGTATAGATGTTGTTGAGAGTAGAAATAATACCTGACTTCCCTCCCAATAGTGTACTCAATGCCTCCATGATCTTTATTAACTTGCTAAAAAGGGGGGACACTCCATCGGGAGGTATCCAGTCCCACATGGAGCAGTTTCGGAGATATACACAATGCACCCACCGAACCCATAAAGTATCCTTCTTTAGGTGGATATTCCTAAAGATGTATTATTCATGTTATGGTTTATTATTCACGGGTGTTTGGAATCGATTCTGTTTCTATTTCTGCTTCTTTTTTAAAAAGAAATAGAATCAGAATCAGTTTTCAGAAGCTAGTCTCCTCCGCTTCTAAAAAACTTATTCTAAGAGTAAATTAGAGCATCAGAATCACTTCTACACTTTCACTCAAACACTGCAAATTCTGCTTCTGCTCCTTCAGGGAGCAGAAGCAGTTTTAAGAATCAGATCCAAACACCCCCTCAATAGAACTTTAAGTACAAATTAAATATAAAAATTATAATTCTAAATAAAAACATGCTTAATAAATTAGAGAAAAACTGAGCACTTCCTCTAAATAAATCCCAAACATAAGAGGTACTCCTTCTAAATAAAGTTCTCAATAACACAATTATTTACACAATAATTGAATATGATAATTCGAGTATATTGTGAGAAATTATTTTGATAGTTATTTCTTAAAATAGAAATGAAAATCATGGGACGTCCAAAAAGTAAAATGAAAACCTTAAAATGTGGGAGTAAATTGAAAATGAAAACGATATTGTTAATTCTATAAAATGTATCCCTCCGTTTCGTAATTAAGTTTTTAGTTTGATTGTAATCATTGTATGAACTTTTAGAGTTTTAGTCTAAGTAACTCTCTTTATTGGCTTTAGGGTCTGTTTGCAACAGCTTCTGCTTTTAAAAAAGTGCTTTTTTTAATGAAATGGGGAAAAGTGATTAAATAAAAGTTGATAGTGTTTGAGAAAAAAGTGATTTTGAAAAGTAAAAGTGGGTAGTGTTTGGTAAAATAAGTGCTTTTTGTGTAATAGAAAAAGTAAAAGCACTTTTGACGCGGAAGCCGAGAAAAATAAAAGTTGTAGTGTTTGGGAAAATAAGTGCTTTTTTAAAGCCAAAAGTTGAGAAGTGCTTTTTTAGAAGCAGTTGCAAACCAACCCTTAGTCAGTTTAGTGTAAGTATATATATACGGAGTATATCTTCCTAGTGAAAATAAATAATTTTGACACTCGATGAATGTATGTTACGGAGTAGGATTTTATAGTGTAACGGTGAAAGCATTTAAATGTAACTATATTTTTTTTATTTAAATGTAACTATGTAAGAGAAACATAAAGTGCAACAAGAAAGTAGTTGAGCTGTCACGGTTAATTACACCCGAACAACTTAGGCTGTACAATACAAACACTGCATTGAGATGGATGTAAGAATATAGTACTCCGTACATGTCACGGAACCAGTAAATAAATGCACCGTTGCCTATGCCAATAAATGTAGGAATGGCCAAAAATACCGAAATGGCTTGGTACCGAATCGGACGGCTATGGTATCAGACCGATAAACGAGGTTTGAAATGGATCACAATTTTTTTTGTCTCGAATCGTACCGGTTCAAACAATGTCATGACGGGTTCTCATAAAATGAGAACCGGTACAGAACCGAACCAGATCGAAGTATGGTTTAATTATTTAAATTTATACTACTATAGTTTATCTTGAATTTATTTACTATCTTATCTGTCCCAAATTGATTTGCAAAGTCAACATTTTTTTGTCAATGCTAATGTTAAGTCCTCCCTAATGATGATTAATACAATTTTTAATAATTATAATTTGAAATAATTACATAAATATGACTAAAATAAAGATGACTTACAAAAATATGATTAGTTACTAGAGTAGTAATGAATAGTCATATTTATGTAAATAAGTTTTTTTGAGTAATATTCTTGTAAAAAACCCTTATAAATTACATATTTAGAAATCACATTAAAATCTATTTAAAGTTGCCAATCAAAATTAGAATATACGAAGGACTTTTTTTTAAAGGCCAAATTAGAATATAATTAAAGAGTGAAATTCTGATTAAATGAATAACAACAAATTATTTGACCAAAAAGGATTGACTTTGTAAATCTATTTGGAATGGAGGTACTATGAAATATGAAAATCGATAAATTGTGTCAATTTTTGGAGGATGGGTAAAATTTAATTTTTTCTTAAATACTTGGAAAAAGTGGCATTGTTTGGTATTGGTATTGGTATGACATGGTACCGCCCCGTTTGAAAATGGACCGTACCAAACGGGTTTTAGTCTAAGACCGAACCGTTTCAATAGTAACGGTACGGGTAAGGGTTCGGCAAAATATTGGACCGGACCGTGCCCACCCCTAAATAAATGTGTGGAAATATATGTTTGTATATGTTAGTTTTTTTATGATTGCGCTCCCCTGATTCTGGAGACTATGAACTATCCTCTAAAGCCCCTAGACAGTTAAATCCGGATCTGATCACAGTCACTCTTGTCGGTACTGGCTCCACAAGGCGAATCCAGTAGGACTTCCAAAGCATGTCAGCCCAGCTGCACCCAGGGGGTCCTACCACACGAATCCGCAAAACTGCTTTACCGTTCACTCCCTTCTTAGCCGCTGAGCAACTCCGTGAAGGTAGGAAGAATCATTGGTAGCAAGACTTCTCTCATCTTCCCTTTGGTGCATAGCGGGTTTCAAACACGAGACCTCACATATGCTGATATGCACCAGTAACCTCACAACCAGCTGTGCTGGTATGCAGTGGCGGAGCCACTATTGTTCAAAGGGGTTCATATGAACACCTAAATTTTTAAAAAACATGTGGGTATATAGGTGTAATTTAGTATAATTATTTATGGTTCTTTAAATTTGTACTCCAAATTTGAATAAAAAACAAAACACCCAAAATTGGAATCCCAAATCCGCCACTGCTGGTATGGCTCGGTTTTGAGTTTTTGTCTATGCATAGATAGTATTTTTCATTTTGAAAAGATAATTGCATGTCACCCCAACAAATTTTTTTGCCATTGTAGGTGCAATTTGTTGATAACACACACAAATCTCGTGTACAAGCCGGGCGTGTACACGAAGCAAAGTTGTAAAGTATACACCCCATTATCCTGCGCTCCTTATTTGCGGCTTGGGAACGACTAATTGCTAGATCGCTAGGTGATTACATCTTGAATAGAATTATAGAAGAGTTTGCCCAAAAAAAAAGAACCATAGAAGAGAGCATCAAACGGTACATGGAGAAAAATGTTTATTGCAATGAACAGAATAGACAACGGTGATTCGTTTTAGTAAAAACACCCACTTGCCTCAATTAGTCGATTTGCAATTATTTAACATTAATTTTAACTCAAACCCGATCTATTAACAGACATATATCGTTAAATGCCTATGTTTCTTTCTGCATTCAAGTTTGCCGGGCATGAGCAGAGGCTGCAGAGCCACCTTCTTGTTGTGCAGCCAAAGAGGCACGATGGGTGACTGGAACGAGTCGTACCCCAAGTCCACAAAGGGCTGTATTTGGGTGTCTGGCGACAAGCATTGCCACCTCGCCAGCTCCAAATTCTCTCAAATTATCTAAAACAATGGTATGAGGCGGGAAGATAAGAGATCAAATAGTTTTAATTACAACAATTAGCCATAACTCGCTTGTTGTTGATTGAAATTGTTGTATCATTGTATCACATCTAGTCTCAAAGCCTAGTATTCGCCAAATGGAAATTCCAACCACATTATTTCATTGCTAATTCTCAAACCAAAACTCATCATGATCACCATGGGGTTTTGTGCTTTATACTTCAATTTCGTATCTATTCCTCTCCATATACATCGGTGTCTACAATCCTTCTTGTTGAGCCACGGTTTTAGACCTTAAGGTTAGGACGGATCCAGAGTCCGGCTTCGCAAGCTAGACAGACAATCTTATCCAATCATTAAAATGTAATGACTAGGTAATTAGGTCGATTGGTAAAATTTATGCATCTATTACTTCTCGTTACGGATGCATTATCCATTTATTTATCTTGATGACGAGGTAAACCCACACGGATAGCTCTACTTATAAAGCGGTGGAAAGTTTGGACGAGTGTATTACAAGATGGAATGCAGGGAGAAATGACACCATAGATTAATCATACATAGCTAACTCTACTTAACACAAATACATAAATTTGAACCAAAACTGTTCCATAATCCATGCCCATACTCTAGAAGGTAGTCCAGAGCACCTAATGCATAGAATTCGAACCTCTAACTTTTGGTAATCTATGTAGTTACAATTTACAAAACTCCTACAAAAATGTGAATCTGAGAAGAAAGAAATATAAAGCTGAAAGTAGTGGAGTGATTAATTCCATACCACAAAAACTCTATGAGTTACAAACTTGACCTCAACTTAACCCCACATTGGCATATTTTCCTTGACTGAAAAAAACTTAAGATTCATGGAAGAAGAAACCAAATGTTCTTTTCTTTTAATTTCTTTTGTTTTTGTTTTCCCCTTCGCCTTCATTTTTCCTCAAATCTAATTACCACCAAATTTAGGCCTGTGCATCCCCTTTCTTTCCCAATCCATCACCTCCTCCACTCCCTTCTCTATCACTCAACAGTACACCACTCTCATCATCACCCCGTTGAGCCTTCTTCTGAGCCTCCATAGCCTTCAAAGCCTGCAATTTGGAGTGATTGTAATATGCAACGCCCAAGAATGCCAGGCCATACCCAATCAAGTTGACAGGGGTGACAGTGTCCTTGATCACAGACCAAGAAAATGCAATTAGGAGCCAATCCTTTACCACACCAGCCACATTCATGGTCAGAGCTGATGTCTTGCCCACAAGCAAGAACACAGCCAAGTTCAGAGCAAATGCACACAGCGAATTGCTCCCGAAAATCACCAAATCGAATCGGAAGTTCGAATTTTGCTTCAAAACGGGCAATTCGACAAAAATCCAGGGGATACAGAGGAAAACAAAGCAGCTGGGAGCTACATAGTATAAGGATGTGATAGGGTTTAGGTTAATCCCCTTAGAGGTGAGCAAGATCTGAATCATAACAAGTCTGGTGGCCTCAAAAGCCACCGCCATTAATTGCAGAAATACAC